GACTTCAAAAGTGCACCTGACTGCAAACATTTAACTGCGCTTATACATTCACAATATTCTAACAGCAACGGTAACTCGTCTCTTCACACCTCACACAGTCGCTCAGCGTCAGATTCTACTTTTCAGCAATCATGTAAAAATAATGCCAATTCCAAGAACGCATCCAGAACTGAATAGTTAATCATGGCGACATCACGAGCTCGTGTCTTACTCCAGCTCTCGGCGATATGCTTACAGGCGAATGCTTCCGGAACGTATGTCGTACCAGGCGACCAGACAAGACAGGAAACCAGTGTGTCTGACGTTACAGAATGACGTCAGCAAAACGTCACCATAAATCTCACGCCACAGAGCTGTGGGCCGATCGTATGGTTCGAATATGGAGTCGAAGAGAAATTCCAGGCTGTTGCCTGTCCGTAACGATCCATTTCAATCATTCTGGCTTCTGTTTTCGATATGGCCCTCAGGTGAAATTCCTTAATATTGAGAAACGTTCCTTTATAAAAATGTCCTGCATACACTGAGATGTGGGATAGTTTGGGATTAATGGTGCAAAAACCCTGCAATTGTTTCGACTTAACTAGTTCACAGTCTCACACTAAATATTATCAAGGACATACAATAGGCTAAATGTAGGCCTTATACATGAGGCAACGCATGAAAAGACAGTTTCTGTCTTGACAAGTAGGCAGAGGACAAGGAAAATAACAGTATTGTTGACTTGAATTATACAAATTGCAACACGAGCAGCAGAATTTGTTCGAAAATATAATGATGTGTCTATTATCTGAAAGTTTGACAATCTAGTTTGAATGGTTCAACAGAAACAGATACAGCGAGAAGTTTGGACTCGAAATTAAAAAGTCACTGCGCATGACTTTAAGGTGCACACAGTCACTACGCATGACTTTAAGGTGCACACAGTCACTGCGCAGGACTGAAGGTGCACGGAACGATGCAACCAACATGCGCATTTGAAACTCGGGAGACAAAAGGAAAAGACATCAATTTCCTACAGGGTCCAAATTTCACTTGACATCCTTATCTCAGGCATTGCCAGGGCAGGGAATTTGACTAGCCCAATACATTCGATTACGGGCCTCGGATCCTCTCGCATTGCATTAGAAAACCTGAAAAAATCCATCATCAACTTCTAGTGAACTCCAGAGAGCCCCTCTTCGTCTGAATAATTATCCAGAAGCCATGAGCAGGGTGCCAGTCGATTTCTGTCTCTTTAATATTGAAGACACGTCATTATTTCCCCTCGTCATTCTGAGAAATTAATGATTTTTGTGTGGGTTGGATGGCGTTTGTTTGTTTTTGCGTTCAGAATGTTTGCGCTTATCTTGTCCCCATCAAAGGTTTCATAATGATGTTTCCCATGATGACTGATCCGAGAATTTAAAATGGTCCTTATGCACAAGTAGGATAGGTCGTGCATATTACCCGAGTTATTCGTTAAATCCTAGCCACAAAACGAGAAGTACATGTAGGGCCTACAATACCCCACCCCCACATACACCACGTTCATTTCACTCTGGCCTGCAGGGCGACATGACATATTGAGATTCATTGAAGTTCTGAGTCACATCTTGAGGACACGGGTATTGCCCATGTCGTATTCAGCTTTTGCCTTTCTAGGTTTATACCTCTTGCCTATAAATCAACGTCTTGTGCTTAGCAGGATACGCGAAAAACAGCTACACATCAAACGGACATACTGTCGCACCTGAGCTGTCTGTCTGATGGGCACCGTTTCAAGCCGATGTAGAATGGTTCCCTGCGCCAAAATATAAAACGATCTCCGAAATAATTTTGTAGCTATGTCGTGCTCCAAGGTTTTTTTCTTATTTCTCCCTTTCAACATTTTAATTGAAAGTGTGTAAGCTTGCTGGTATGGATTACCATCCACAAGAAATTCTTCGAGGACGCTGATCTTGGGTTACACCGAGGCGAGAGGATTTCTCACCTGCTCGGACGAGCCGGTGCCGGTAGGAAGGGTCGTTTTGCAGTGTCGTTGTCCCCTCGGGAATGACATGAAACGAGCTGAAAACGTAACTGTGAGAAGTGTACGTGAACCTTTCACTGCATCATCTCTCGTTCAGGAAAAAAATCAACTAGAAAAAAAAACCCAGCAGACTAGAAACTAAATTTGCGCATGCTTTTAGAGTATTGGTAACTACATATTGATACTGTCGCAGTCGGATGAAATCAAATGAAAACCGGTAACGAAGTACGTTCCATCAGTTAACATAATCGAAATCCTTGTGAAGCCGTTTGGCAGCTCGACTTATAGATATTCAGTTATAAGTCATTCAGACATCACATTTTTTTTCTTCTTCAGAAATTACAGAGTAAAGCTTAAGTGGTTCAAACTGTGACCATTCACCACAGAGTAGTTTGATGACGTTCGTCTTGTTACTACTCGCTTGTGTTTTATTGTAATCTGGACGAGCCATCCAAACCTGTGAGTGCAGTTTATTTTTTCCGAAAGTAATTGGATTAAGGATGACCTAAGTTTAGTCGAGCCACAAAGATCCCCTATATTATTCCGAATAAAAACTTGACCAAACCGTATTGACTGATGCAGATTGAGTGAGGACGTCACTCTAATTGTTTGACCAGATGGCCATTAAACCAATTACAAATGGCTACCACGGCTAATGAATGTACCGATTGAAATGCTAATTGACCGCTGAGGTAATCGAGCCCACGTGACACGAATAAATTCGCATAAAATGGAACCACAAACTGTACAGTGCAAAATTCTCCGTATTACATGAAAGTGAGCTCTTTCCTTCACACCTCTCCGCTTTGGTAGGCCTGCAAAAGCCGAATGAAGTACATTTTATCTTGTGTAAATGTATTTCAAGAGGTTGCACTTGGAGTATGTTTCAGACGAAATTTACAAGAATGAATTCAGGACGAGCTAACCGAAGTCCATAAGAGCAAGTTGTCTTTTTAACCGTATTCTCAATTAATTTGTACAAAGATTATTATGGAGAACTGAAACGATAAGGAATGTCGCATTTACTTCAGTTGCGATTTTCAAGAGCATATTTAGGGGGAGACTGATCTCTAAAACAAATTTTTGCAATGCTTAAGTTTTTATGCTTCCCCCAAACAATTCTTAACCAAAAATGGTTGAGAATTAGGATATTCTCTTCCGAAATGTCATTACAACGTCATTACATGTCTTCTTCATTAGAAAGCTAGGGAGGAATCAGTTTTGTGCACTAATGAGATTGCCTTGTGAATAACCAGCAGTAATCGTCCGGCTTGATAATTACTGACAGTCAAAATCCTCGTTACTATGGGAGATAGAGAGCATCGCTTCTGACGTCACTTAGCAACCTTGAAGCTTGCCCCTTCTCTTGTAGGTTTCTGCAAACCGATAGCGAATTCACTTCGTCGGGGAAGGCACACAGAATAATGGCATGTTCACCTGTGGACATGTTTCTCTCGGAGAAATAGCTAAGAGTCACAAGCTTGCATAATGACGGTCTGTCAGTTTTCCCATGGCACTGCGACCACGTTCAGCGAACTGAGTGCGTGCTTCCATATAGAAAAATGTCTCTCCATTAATTTGTACAACGCACGATCCGTGGTGCCGACAGGACACGAGCATTAATTTTTACTGAGTGAGCCCGGGTGTTTCGTGTCGCCTTGTATTTTTAATCAGCCGTTATTTACTCGCTGGAGAGGCGATCACGTCTGTGAGAGTTGGAGAGTTCACGATCGACTGTAGGCTAGGTTATCAAGATGAATCGAGGGCTGTAGGCCTAATGTACGGCATTAGGACAAGGCGTGCGTTCCACGTTGTACAACAAATGTAGGACGTACTTTTCTAAGGCGAGGGACTTACCGTACTTGTCCTTCAAGATGGCGGATGGAAGGTTTCCTGGAGGACTGTGTATACTGAAAAAACTAAGTGAAAAAAATGACACCAAAATCACTGAAGACATTGTCCATTGGAATGGTCTGTTAATGGGAGGTTATTCCGATTTGTTTGCCTGGAGGGAATTTCTTGCACAGTTTTATTAGGGCGTGACGTATAATAGTGCTTCATAGCCACAATCATGTACATAAACTTGTAGACTTTCGTTCTAATAGACAGTAACTGATTGAAAAGACTCAAAATACACAAAGATGCTTCTTTTTCACTGCATCATATCAGGGGTTTTTTGGCACTCTTCACACGCATTAAGTACCGGTAGGCATGTGGTAAAAGCCTGAAATAAAATAAACACGAGGCATTCATGTATAAAGTTCGATGGCTCTGAAAAATATTCTGCTGACACACACGCGATGGGACTATTTTCGTTTGTTTATGGGGACAAGAAAATAGGGTAGGTATATAGCTGAGATTATTCCTGTCACGCATGCGCATATTGAACGCTTGATATTCTCAACAGAAAGTACCGTGCCTTTCGTGGCTCGTTCGGTTGGACTGATGAATTTGCCAACGAAAAGCAGAAAAGCTTTAATGAAACCAAACGGCTGTTCGTGTGTTTTCTGGCCCCACCAAGGCGTGCTTTGGGAAAGGTATGGCATGATTTCGTCTGCCTTGAAAGTCCCCAGTTGTGCTTGGAGCGTAATCCGAGAAAAAAATGCAGCTTGGTGTGGGGCTTTGGGAAAAGAAGCCCTTGAAATTCAAACAGAGAGTATTGGAGTGAGGGGAATAAATTTCCCATTTGACACTTCTTGTGTAAGCAAATAAATTAGAATGTTGAGCGTTTGAAAATCATAGAGGTAGAGAAAGTACATTCTGCCTGAATTTTATCGACGAATAACGGGGATACAAGGAACCGTGTGAAATTGAAATTACAATAGAATAAATTACGAAGGGATTTTTTTTAAATTTCCGACAGAACCAACACATTTTCGCTATATTTCTGAAACACACCATCCCCTGTGATTTGTTGTTTCCTCTTTTTAATTTGGAATACCAGTGCCAAAAGTTTCAAATATTTTTTAAAACGATTTTTTTTTGGGTCCAGATGCGTTCGGATAACGGACACAGGCATCGGCTTCCTGTCTACGATGAACTGCATGAGGGCGCTGTATCTACGCTGGTGTTGCCAAGTGCAGGATTTTGGCCTGCAACATCTGTACAATATGAAGAGTCTGGCCATCCTCTCCGTTGCAGGTGAGATGCATGATTGATCACGCCCGTGCACGGTGGGTCCGGGGTAAGACTATCTGACCAATCATCCCCCCTACTCACGCACCCCCTCCCCCACACACATGCACACGCGCACCCACACAAGGCGTAGTCTCCGACACCGGTCCCCCAACGTGCAGCCTTACTGGATTTTGTTAAACTAGACTTCATCACTGACAGTGCTCACAGGATTAATCACAAATTCATCCATTAGTCGGATCAAAAGTCTGAAATGCACATGGCAATGTCCTTGCCCCACCAGAAGAACTTTAAACTTGAAAGCTTCAGTTGCACGCATACAGGAGTCAACCGCATCACCAAAATGAGCCCCTTTAACACCTCGAACATCATTGCACCACGCGCGAAACTCTGACAGCCATTAATCCCATAGCCTTACACATGCACTGCGCTCGAACGGGGATCCTGATTAAAAATATGCTATTAACGTTAAGTGCTCGAAGAAGATGAATTGAGGGCCGATGAAGGTGAATGAAGCGTGAAACTGTCTGGATCTGTCAACTCATGTTGAGATCCTGTGAAAGTACTCTCAACATTTTGAATGTAATTTTCTTTTTTTATTCGAATGCTATTTCCGCCTCTTATCAAAAGTCTGAATACGTGAACCACACTTTCTAGTTTGACGGCTTTATTCTCACCATCTTTTTATTCATTTATACAATGGATGGACCCTTAAAAGGGTTCCCTGGGCACACTGCTCGAGGTATGAATGAACATTTCCCCAGAAACAGTTCAGATCATATCTTGGAGAAAAACAAGGATCGGGCATTACTTGGAGTTCTGTCCAAATGTAGTATGTTTAGCACACACACAAACACAAACCTGCTAGAATGTCCGTTGGTCCTGCATCAGGTACATGTAGTTAATGTAGCGGTGAGTGGACAAAAGGCAGAAAGTCGAGTTTTCTCCCAGCACTCAACAAGCCCACGTAGTAATGAATACATGCACATGTACTTTAAAACAAAAAGAAAAAAAATAAGGCGGCAGTAAACCTCCTGTGAAAAAGGAACTGTAACAAAGAGGGCATACCTTCTTAAACCAATTCTCTGCTCCCTGGCATTAATGTTTCCTCTCTACACTCTTTCATTGATAACATTTCGATTGTTTCCTCTAGGCTGTCCTCTGCTGACGGCCGCTGGGCTCTCAGGCCTTGCCCAACTCAAGAATCTGGAGGAACTGGAGTTGACCAACTGTCCCGGCTCCTCACCTGAGCTACTGCAGTATTTCAGCCTCAATCTTCCCAAGTGTACTATTGTCCACTGATCAGGGCGGGGTCAAAGAGGTGGAAGGTGGAACCAAGGGGGATCAGTCGACTGAGAACCCAAGTGGGCGTGACCAACAAACTGTCCCACATCCTTTACTCGGCCTACTGTATAATTTTTTCCTCAAACTCTTCGAGCATGCCATTGTCCATTGATCAAGGTGGGGCCAGTGAAGTGGAAGGTGTGGCCCAGGGGGTGGGTAAAAGAGACAGAACGTGGGAATGGCGACGAACTGTCCCGGCTTCTCACCTGTGCTGATTAAAACTTCAGATTCAAACTCTTCAAATGTGCTATCGTCCACGCGGTTTAAAGGGGACCACTGGGCGGAGCCAAGGGATTAAGTGGTGGGCGGGGACAGAAGGTGGGTGTGGCAGAAGGTAGGTGTGGCCAAAGGGTGGGGTCAAAGTGGTAGGTGGAAACAGAACGTTAAAATGGGCGTGGTTGCTTTTCAACCATATCAATTAGTGGCGTTTTGCAGTAATTTGGCCATTATGCTGCTGTGTATTTACAAGGATGGGACAGGGGCGTGGTGGCCAAGAAATGGACGTGGTAGGGTAAGAGTGTACATAATGTACGTGAAATAAGCCTTAATTTACGTTGTCGGATTCAACTTTTTAAGTTAGTTAACTTGATATGGGGCGGGGAGAATATAAAGGCGGGTCGGGTGTGGCTGCCGAAATAGCGCTGGTTTTGGCACCTTTTTTCAGCAGCTCTGACGTTATTGGATGTGAAAGTAAATTATTTTATGTTAAAGAGACAGATGCACCAGTCTAAAGCTCCGGTAATGCTTTCTAAGCACAGCTCAGCACATGGTAACAGCTTATTATGATAAGTATTGGTTACGATGCTTTAGCATCTGCGATTTAGTCCTAGAATGGAATGTAAATCAAAAAATTAAGTCGGAGAAATCGTGCATGTTCCAATCGGTGTAAGTGCAATGTACAAGTCTCGTCTTTTCACGTGCAACAGGTTCGAGAACCCATCACCCTTGAGCAATGGATAGAAAATGAAATTCACTATTTGGTGCATGTCAAGAATTTCTAATTGACCGATAAGCACTTGTACTTATTTGAGAGGCTTTCATTTAGAATAGTGTCTTGCCGTCGGTGGGTTTAATGCTTTTTGAGGATGCAAATGTCAGAACGATCGTTTTCATTGTAAATATATAATAATCGATCACGCTGAAGTGACCTTTGTTAATATTTCAAAATAATCGACGAAAACTGTAAAACAGAGAGACACTGCAATTGTATGTAGGAATGTTTAGCAACTGCTAAGGCCGTTGATTGATTGATTCATTTAAAGTTGGACCAAAATTATTTCGGTAGTTTTGAAAATCGGTGTAAATTGACATCAGTAGCTCACTGGCCAGTGATGTAGATTGTGAATGAAACCTACATAGACTAGCGTAGGACATGTGGTTCTTGTTTTGACAATGGAACCGTCAACTTTGGAATGGACCCTGGAGCGGCGAAACGTTTACAGGAACGTTTAATATTTGATAGAAGTATTTACTATCTAGAGCACATTCGTACCTAAAGAATTTAGCATTTAACATTAAACACTTGGTGAAGGAAGCCTTGTAGTTAACATCACACATTAACCAAGTCACATGAAAGCTTTGTTCACGATGACGCTTAATATTGAAAAGGCTGGACCTTATTAATCGCATTATTTGTGCACTTGTCAATTTCTCCGGGGAAACGGAGGGAAGAGCTGGACTTATCGGAGATCCTCACGTATCATCTAATTGAATAAGTTTAAGGCTATAGTTTTTGAGTAAATGAACAATTATTGCTAGAGCTATGTACATAAATATCAAATTTATTTGAGAAAATTATGTTAGATGTATTTAAACGTAGAAGCATCTGCTAAATAGATATGTATGTTAATCATAAAGGAAATGATATCGAGAGAGATTTGAAACTTTTATTTATTTATAGAAGGCATTGAAAAAAAGTTGCTTGAACGGAGTTTATGCGAAAAGGGAATTCTTTGTGGACAGATCAATCAGTATGTAAATTTCTTCAACATTTGCGTTTATAACTCTACTCTTTATGACTGGAAGTAGTTATTTTGTACTCATTTCATGTAAAGTCTTTAAGTTTTTGTTTAATTTCAACAATAACAGCTGTAACTGTAGAGGAAGCTTATCTTAGTCAAGAAAAAAAAACCCAACAAAATGGCACTACACAATTGATTTTCCAGGATTTCCTCCTTACATACACCGCAAGTTTCATTTCAGCCGAATTTGCATTCAGTTCGGTTTTTAATTTACAATATGGAAACCTCCATGAATCCATTTTTTTAAGAAAAGTGAACACTATTCTTTTTAACTGTCTAAGAAAATTGGAATTTCCGGGTAAAATTATGAGATTTTTCTATCACGTTTGTCATGATGTATGCATTGTTGTCCTGATGGAAAAAGTACCATTTCTTAAAATCTGAGGGTGTTGAAAGAATGCCCGATCAAATACGATGATACATAGTTAATTGAGTGTTAAAAGTTACCTATGTAAAATGTAATGAATATTTATAGCTAAACTTCAATCAACCAATGAAGAGAAATTTTGCAAAGCATGCAAACACAGTTAACACGACCCACTCATTTCATTCTTATGCATATTCATGATTTTTAAACCAATCAGAAATGTAAAAAACATAAAATGGAGAGGCGTGATGGCATTTGTATTTAACTGAAACATTTCCGTATGTGTAATAGAAAGTGAATAAAAATAAAATCGCTTTAAAAACTTCGTAAATTCAACTGATGTCACAAAGCATAATGTCAAAGTCACTGAATTATTACGAATACTTCGGTAAATGTGTTAAACCTGTGCAAATGGTATGAATATTTATAATAAGCAGTTAATCCATGGCTTCTGGATCAGTAACGAACCTCTTCATTACAAGTTCATAGAGAAACACTGTAGATGTGGGAGAAAAACACCACAGGAAAGTTTGGCAGACGGTCTAATTTGGAGTGACCTAAAATAAGGAAAAAACCCATACTGACTCCATAGTGTGAAAAAAGACCGAGACATCAAGGGTACCAACTGACCCAGTCAACCAGGGTAGCCGAGATTCAATCGCAGATAGCAAAGAGATTTCAAGTAATAGGCCTACTTTAAAGTTGCCAGTTACAGCGTTAAATTAAGGCTATGTGTAACCCAATAAAATCCCACTCCATGTAAACTAAATATGTATGGTGATAAACTTAGAACAGGCTCTTCCCTATTTGATAAGCGGTCAAAATTGCGACCAAAATGCATTACAGCAGCTAAAAAAATTTTTGAGGCAATTAAATGTATGAAAAGTATATGTATACTTATGCCCTATTTACCTGCGGAGATAACTAGCTACATACATGTATATCTGTGTACTCAAAGTGAACATGCAGAATTTGATTTACTTAGAGCTGTCCAATTCTGAATTTATTATCGAGAACTAACGGCACAATCAAGGGATAAATTTGTTTCAATTTATTCAGTTCAGATACCTCATGGATTAACCCTAACACTCCTCAGTCCTCCAACAGGTGAAGGATTGAGGAGGGTTAGGGTTATCTCGAATAGTTCCTGCCACAACTGCATACAAATCCCATATACGGTTTGATGATACCACCGTTGTTCTAATCTTATCAAGAGCAAAATATTCATTTTGTGGCATTTTGGCTATGGGGGGGCGTTCTGAACTGCAGTTATTTGTTGCTTTCTCAAGTGCTTCCAAAAAGAGAAAAACTGACACAGTCCAGCAGTGGCGTCACTATGGGAGGGGGGGTACGTGCCCCCCAACGGAGGCCCATGCCCCCCCCCCCATTTGAAATTTTGAAATGGACATTTATGTCCATTTATGTAGGCGTTTAGACAGGCACCTAGTTCAATTATTTTCAGTGCCCCCTGAAAAAACATTGTGCATCCCCGGGTGCCCCCTCAGCTGTATTACCCTCATTACGCCACTGCAGTCCAGCCAAAATTACAACATGCCTCATTTCGCGAGGAAACTTTGTTATGTTGGACATCAACAGAGACCATGGCTGTGGTTTGGTTCCTCAGGTCACCCCTTCTACAATTACTCATTATTGACTTGTTACCTGACTCTTCTCTTTCAGCTCCTTCGTGGTTTTTAGGAATTTGTGTCAATAAAAATACTATAGCGACTATGAGTGTGTGATTTGTATGTCAAATGTGATCATGTTGTATGCATGTTATTCAGGAGTCATGTGCATAATTCATGTCAGGTCATGCATATTCATGATCTGAGGTTATTTAATTTACCAACTTGAGTGCTGCCTACTGCATTACGTGCTGCATTGCATTAAGGTTATTCTCAACAAAATATGACTTAATTTGCTTTGAAAGCAGAAAAACACCAGTAAAAGTCAAATTTATTTTACTTATGAAATTCACAAGGAAAAAAAATGCTTCCTCAAAATTTCACTAAGTTGAAAGTCCTTGTTGATGTTTTTTGTTGGCATTGCATAGGTTTGACAAGATTCCATATTTGTTTAGAGAAGGTAATTCAAATACAGGTGTTTTTATTTTGAGATGTTGGTTACTGTAGGTATTACAAATTTTGATGGAATGATTAAAAAATTGGTGTTATCAATAATACAAACAAAAATCCATTTTAATCAAGAGCAAACTGGTTTAGGATAAAAGCCTGCTTAATGCCATTGGTTGAGTTGTCTGCTTTGCGGCAACTGCAGATCCTCCTGTTATGCTATTGTAATTCCTCAATGTTAATGAATGTTGGAGCTGGAACCGCGTGCTGTGTTATGTGTCACAAGTGAATAAGAAGAATAAAATTGACCACGTCCTGTTGTTTTCAGCAAACTGAAGCTGGCTCTATGATCTTATTTGGAGTCTTTGTGCCAGGTTTTTTTTTTTCACCAGAATTGAAGAGGATCTGCCCAATTACAAAACCTGAATTAAACACGGCAAAATTGAATTTAAAACCAAGCAGTTTCACATACTCATCTGCTTTGTTTTTCCCAGTCATCCCCCCCTTTTCTTAAGTCAACAAAGTATTAAGAGTTCCCTAACAAGCGATCAAAAAGTTTAAAAATCTGTTGCCATGGTGAAACTGCTTCAGACACACAAGTATCAGCAAGACTAACAAAAATGTATCTGCCCTCTTCGATAATCTGCTGTCTTTAAAAAACCTGCCTCTTTCCTTTAATACAAAGATGAGAATTTTTTACTTGAGCAAAAGAATCTAAAACCCTGTTTGATGGTACAGATAATGCAACCATAATGCAACATATTACACAGAAAAAATGAGCCATCAGAAGACTGCTGCAAATTGGAAATCACCTCGTCTGAGTGAAAAGTACAGAAATTTATTCAGAAAGAAAAAGCACAATTTCTGCAACAGATGAGCGCCCGTGCAACTGAGGGTAAATCTACATGTATTTTTAGTTGAAAATGCAGTGGTTGTGACCCACGACCTTTTGTATTAAACTCCTCAGCAATACAACCCTAGAGGGCGCTACACCATACTAACACAGACAACCATGTGTGATGCTGAACTTATGGCTTATGCCCATTCAAAGCTTTCATTTAAGATGACTCTGAATTAGCACAGGGTAGAAATGCCTGATAAATGTCACACCAAACAATGAAGTTGCATGGATCGCTCTTAGCAAACGTTGTCTTTACCACATTTCAGGAGAAAAACTACAATCCTTCGCAGCTGCAAAGCAACACCACCCTCTGCCATTATATGAGGTCAATGATGGAACAGACATGATTAGAGCATAGCCGCAGCAAATCAAATCAAATTTTCCATTTTGTTGTTGTAGGATTTTTTGGTGTTCACAAGCCTAGTTAAGATGTTGACACTAACAAAGAAATCAACAAATGCAATTTCCTTTACGTTCAGTCTCATCCAGACTTTCAATTCTTGAAAATTCCAACACGGGGCCCCCGTAACTCCCCCATGAGCAATTGGTAGCTACCTGGTCGGACAGTCTCAGAAAAAACCTCCACCAAGATGGACTCTCCCTTGGCAGTTCTCGCTTCATTTGACTTGGACTCTGGGCTGTTGCTCTGCATGCAGGATCACTCCACTCTCTGGACATTTCTGGTGGTTCTGGACATCACCTCAGCTGATGCCATGGACTAGCTACGCATGGTGATTTGCTCAGCATGAAAAACGTCCGCTTAACAATACCTGGTTACAAGCAAAAATGTTGTGCCGTATGCTGTGCTTGTGACCAGCGGCCAATTTCATAGAGCTGCTTAAGCATGAAATTTGCTTAAGCGCAAAAAACCTTACTTGATAAATCAGGTAACCAGCCAAACTCCATGTGATGTATATTGCTTTGGGATCGTATTAAGCTGTTTTTTGGTTAGCATGATTATCAGATAGAGTTGCTGGTAATCTTTGTTTATTAAGCAAAGTTTTTTCCCGCTTAAGCAAATTTTGTGCTTAAGCAGTTCTATGAAATTGGCCCCAGTTCCCCATCGATATTTGCTTAGCCAGTGGAATAGTTTAGCAGTATTCACCACTCAATATCCACCGTGTGAAATGGGACTGTCTGTTGCTAACTGGCCCACCAGGTGAGCAGGCCCAGCCCTGGCTCGCTGATTGAACCCTGCAAGATGAAACAAGCAAAGACAGGAAAACACACGTAAAACTATGATTGACACGAACTAAGAAGCTGAGCGGAGTGGGATTCGAACCTATAACCTGATAACCTCCAGAGCATTGTGCGGCAGTACATGTAGAACTGATAGTAAAGTTGATTACATGGATTTAACAAGGATTTTGCGGATGTTTAAATTCGGAAATTTTACATTATGTTCAGCTAACATGGTTCATAATGTTTGCAGCAATAAAAATGGGCACTAAGACAGAACAAACCACCATGTATCCATATTTGGGTAATTCCACAAATTAAGGGTTCATATGTGTGACATTTTTGTGTCCCTGTTATATCTGACCTTTGTGATTTGACACAGAAACATCACCAGAATTGATTTCTAACTATTACTATTTGTTTGGCAGGTAATTTGCATTAATTCATCACTCTTGGAAATTAGAAACTGTGTTCTGAACTTATAAAATCACATGTCAGATGTGACAGGGACACGAAAAAAAATGGACCCCTGATTTCTGTAGTTACCCATATACACCTGCATACTTCACTAAAACTTAACTTAAAAAGATGCATTAGTGTTCAAGTTATCAAGAACAAACTATTTGAAGCCGGAAGAAACAGCATTGTACCGTTAAGCTGTAGGGTGACTGTTTGCTCTTGGAATCGTCCACCACAATCTCCGAGCCTGGCTCACTGATGTCGGACGGTCCGACGGGTGTGGTGTCCACAAAGGTTTCATCCACTACGCGGAACCGGATCTCCTCACTGGTATCCATGAAGAGGTCGTGGGTGCCCTCCTCCGTCTCATACTGCCACACCCACACTTGCTCTGTCTCGTCACTGCAACGTCTTGGAGTTAAAGATGCCTCACACTGTCCCCGACTTTCATTAAAAATTTGGGACTGGACTGGGTTTCATAGCAAGCTCATAAATTCAACCATTTCAGGATCAAAGGTGTGTGAACACAATCTATTTTGGTAGGAGTGGCTGATGAGTTTAATTTTTTTTCCTTGAGATTCTGACTGTGGACAAACCGCATTTTTCCAATCTGTTCTGCTCACTTGAACTGTTTGACAAGTCAATGAGGAGTCCATGTGGCTGCCATACACAGCCCAGCGTCACAGAGAAAAATTGCTCCATAATGAGGCATGGAGTGCATTGTGAAAACCAACTAATTAACATCAAAGTATCACACATCTATACCATACGAATGACCATCTAAGATTTGGTAAGTTACACAATCAATACGTGTTTGACTCTAGTAAATGTTGGCTTCTTTGCAGAAACATGATTTGGGAATAAAAATAATACCCACATGAAGAAGTTAAAACAGGTTTTGCCGTTACCTGATGTATATATATAAACACTGTACAGTGTATACTCAGTGCTCACAGACGAGCGCTGAGCAAGCTCTTGGAGAAGCACTGAGTATGCAGTGTTTATATATAAATATATACATGTACAAGTATATGTCAAGTAAGGACAAAACCTGTATTTAAAATTAAATCTCCCCGATGCAAAGTACATCATGAGATAGTTAAAGATACACGTAACTACTTACTTCCCATGTTGAGGCAGTGTTTCTACACAATCATATGGGTCCTGCTATAAATTTGGGGTCCATTTTATTCCCCGTCCCTGTTACGTCTGGCATTTGATTTTTAATGTTTAGAATTCATTATTTAATTTCCAAGACTGAATAAATGCTGCAAATTACCTGCCAACCAAATAAAAATAGTTTGAAATCAATTTCAGTGACATATCCCTTGTCAAATTTGTCAGATGGTGTACATGTCAGAGGTAACAGGGACGGAAAAATGTCACACTTTGGCCACCAAATTTATGGAATGACCCATATTGATATTTGTTATATTTACAAAGGATACAATTTGGAAGGCTGCTGTAGGGCTTCCGGTGGTATCAGGATGTCATCAAAGAATCCCAGAGTTACTGCAATGGAAAGTGAGGCCCAAATATCTGAACTCAGCCTTACATTTGCTCTGTGAAAGCAAGGGAACGGTCTGAATAATTCATACTTGAAACACTTGTGTTTAGTTGAGTTTTCTGCAATGGAATGCACAGTGAGTTAGTGTGGTACAAATGAAAAATGCAACCTCTGAGTAAGCTTAGGATTAGCCCTTGCTGGCATACATCAGCTTAGAGTTGGGACCACTGAGACACTGTTTGACACAGCTTCAAGAACGCGTGCTGTCTTGCAAGTGTTATTCCTCAGTGCGTTAACCATTTCACATCATTGCACATTTTCACTGGTGCACAAATCAGGCAACAGCGTCCAAAGTGGACAAAGTTATGCTCAGATGTTAACAAACCATTACTCGAGGGTGAGATGTACTCACAGCAAATGACTCAATTTACCCGCTCAAAGCCAGTCCTGATCAACGCATCACACCAAAGAACAACTGAGGGCTGGGACACAAAATCTATGGACCAACCTCAGGAGACGTCGTGACTGCCGTGGCACTGCACTCACACGCGCATTCTTAAGCTTGACGCTGGCGTGCTTTTGTCGTACCACCTGTCCAGGAGTATTGTGCCACCGCAGTGATGGACTTCTACTTCTGGTTACTTAACCCCACTACTGGCTCCCTCCGACTCACCGTGTACACCTTCTCGGCTGCAACTGCGTATCCTACCCACAAGAACCTCGTCCATGAAGGGGCGGAAAACTACATAGCGGAAATGCACCTAAGTCCAAGAAACAAAGCAAGCAGTCAACTGTACACTTTATGAGGAGTTTGCTTCCTGCCTGTCTTCACTACAGAATTTATTCTAGTTAAAGGTTTTATCCATACGCTGCCGGGTTTAATTTGGAGTTGCATGATGTATACCCCGGGGACTTTCAAGATTTCTTGTTTTCAAAATTCTTCAAAAGTTCATAACTTCATTTACTGGATGTCTACACCAACACGAATGACTGTCTGATGCCTACTCTAATCTGGCAGACAACATCTATTGACACCCAAATATTGCAGCCAGGCCTGCCGCCTTGTAAAGACAGCCAACCTTGTGCAGTGTTACGTAATTTTCTTTTGTTCCCCAAACTGGCATCTTTTCAAAGCGGACCAGATTAGTATGCAGCGGTATTGTATCGCTCATCCTTGGAGTGCTGGAGCACTTTTGTCACCGGTGGTAATCCGCTCACACCGAATATCACAAACAGTGGTATAATCATTCAAAACAATAACGGATTTCCTCCGCTACTGACAATTGAAAACATGTTGGCAATTCCCAGCAGCTTGGTTTTTTGTTCCGAGTATGGTCTTTTGTTACAAGGCCCAGCTCTTTTGTCCGATTTCGGGCAGCCCGTTTATGCATACAAACCCTAGGAGTCTGGCTCCGGAAACCTTGGCAGCAAGTGGTTAAGACTAGCATTTAATGCTACAAGAAATGTATCAAGCAATGCTAAAGAGACATACACCTCCCCTCCCTATGAATACCCTCAGATCAGGGTTTGAACCCAGGTCACAGGCTTTGGAGGACAAGTACAAATGCGCAAATCCCTACAGGTATTCCCAACACGATAGATTATGTAATCATACCGTATCTCACCTTGGTATGTGAGGCCCCGTCACCAGGAAAGATGTGAGAATCCTCCAGTTTGACGATGTCATGTAGGGCAATGCACAGGCCAACACTATGCACCACCTGGAAGTCAAATATTTGTTTGATAGCTCTGATGGTAGAGCATAAATACCGTAATTTTGGAGGTCACACTTCAAAGTTTGAATCTCATCTTACTCAGATCCCTGAGAGGAACAATTCCCTATCGGACTTTCACAATTGGTATATGCATCAACATGCTAAAAAAGGAGGCATCTGACTATTCCATTAAGGGAATTTTATCAAGGAAATAGGATTCACAGTGTCTAGGGGAACAGGTTCAAAAAACATAGGACTAACTTGTTGGTGTCAACCTTATGTATACCTAATGTGGACCCATGAACAAAATGGGTCCACATAATGCAGGTTACAACGACCTTGTGTGGACTAAGCCAGATCCATAAATGTTAACCCCTTTATGAAAACGGTTGTAGAAGCATTTTTGGGTCCAGGTTGATTTGTACCAAAAGGAAGAGGAACACCCAAGGAAACCATCAACAAAAATGAAGCTTGAAAGGGTGTTCACGGTGCAGGAAAAATAAATATTTTTGCCAAATCTACTTCACTACACCAAAACAAAGGAATCACCTCACTAGGTAGGTGATGCAAGTGGGCGTGTGCTTAAGACCCTCAAAAAATGTTGAAGGTCTGAAACTTGCTAAAGGTAACTTTAGACCTTTCCACTGGTATCCGTCCTCACTGGGAACTGGGTCTCAATGCTGGGCCAAAACCATTCTCCTCAAACACCTAATCTAGTGCATCCACTGGCTTGGATTCATCCAAGCTTGCTAGAAACAGCATAAGTCGGTGATTATGATACGCACTTTGTTGGCAAGCTTCTTGTTCAATTCTTCGCTGATGGCACTGTTCAGTTTTACATTGAACAGCCAAGGCTCAATGCGAACAGTGTCTGTCATCTCAGCCAGGACAAACATGGGTGTGATCTGTTAGAGCTGCGTTCCGTGGGTTTGACTGGCCGAGAGTTTCCAAGCAGATGCAGCTAGCACCTGCAATTGAAATAAAGTGTAAACACAGTCATTCCTACATCTACATTATCCTGTCACTTTCTTGTGTTTTCTGGATCTAGGGCTGAGCTCTAGAAGTGTAAACATGGTCAGTGGGCTCTGTGGCACACCTCTCCTCAAGTTACTTGTACTAGCTTGTAAATTGGATCATGGTGATCTGGTTGTGGTATGGAACTTCTTCCTCCAAGTGTTACAAACATCACCAAGTTTACATTTGGTTGTCTGTCCTACTTTTCAAAACTGTCCCCCCCCCAGTTAATAAATGAAAACATTCAGAGATGTAATAAATCACTAATTTTTGTGACTCGAGCCGAGTCATGTGCTCCCAGTGAGTGACTTGAGTCAGTCAAGAGTTAAGTCGTTTACCTGTTGGGCCCAATTAGGCCTAGATTTGTCAGATATTGCGACTCGAGTCATTACAACTCTATAAGAAACATTTCAGAGAAAGGAACATTATAATAAATCATCAAAGAAGGGAACATTTAGGCCGGCCAGCAAAATCCAGAGCAAACACAGGAGTTTTTGAGCAATGTTACATTAGGCTTGCAGGCTTTTCCAACCGGGATCATGAAATTGCAGTCAACAACTGGTTAATGACCTGATGACAATGCCGAATTGATCTGTCATGTTTGTTGTAAACAAACACCCCGACAATGATGACACTAATTAACTGATTGAATTTCACGTCAATGCCATAATGATCGGGGTTCATTACCATTAGCACCCTGTTCCTATAGTAAGGAAACAAAGGTCCACTTTCTCAAACTAACATTTTGACCTTAAGGAACCATTACTCAGTCATGACAGGCCTAGTTTAGGTAAATTTTGACAAAATTTAAGCAAGAAACTTTCAAATTTGTAACCCGAGTTTGGCAAAGGACAACCACTCAGTCGAATTCCGTTTTCTGTCCAGTTAACCGACTCAGGACCCTGACCTGGATCTCCATCCAGGTCAGGGAACCAGACTAAATAAATTCCCTTATTTGTCGTTCACAGCTACCTTCGGGGCGGTTATGTACGCTGCCGTTTTGCCCTCTAAAACCAAAAGCCCTGTTCTCTTTTCTTTTCGATATGAAAGAGGGCATCACCAACAACTTGTTTAGATAGCCTAAGTTATTTCGAAAAAGTAGAATTTGTTCCCTATATTTAATAAGACATGATGTAGGAACAGGGTGCTGCTAAACCTAAGTAACGAACCCCTGATGATCATGGATTCATGGTGCTGGAGTGAAGCTGAGTCACTTGAATTATAAACTAGGGTCTGTAAATAAATACAACACCATTATTTATACAAGCCTACCAATAAAATAGAATCACAGGCCTACCCTTTTTCTTCCTCCATGCGCCATGCTAAAACACAGGTATCGACTTCATGCACGCACGTACGCCACTGATCTCTGATGCACGGGCCCACGTTTTTTCCAGTTTTAGTCGGACCAACTTCTACATTGTGTGTGTGTAACTGGACTGTTGTGGTCTGGGCTTATGACCAGATCAAAAGGAACAAACTTCTACTTGTTTACCATTAGAGGGCGGTATTATTTCTTACCGTCTGGCTAATGAATACACACAGACATGCGGGCTTATTCCTCCATAGTTTTAGCTGGTTTCCCTCAATCCTTGGACATTTTGTCTTGACTACTTTCTGAAATGTGTGGAATAACGTTGGCTTTACCATGGAGATTTGTTCTTATTCCTCCATGGCTTTAATAAATAGTTCCTACTCCAAATTGCTTGCAAGTCGTTTCACTATCCTTCATCCGCAATATGTGGCCGTAGACTTTGTACATTACAAACGTTTGCTCACTTTCAAAGTAGCATCAGGTTTAGTACAGCTTCCTACGGAGCCCTATTGATGCCAACGCGAAAAAATTCTTTTATCTTGTTGAAACGACTTGGCTATCTTGTTTAAATGTGATTTCGCTATCTAGTTATCTCTAGTTATAGCAATGCCAAACGACATAGCTGTCTCATTTAAACGATGTCGAAAAGTCGTTTTAACGAGGTAAATGAGATAAAATAATTTTTTTGTGGTGGCAGCAATACGCTTCTGTAGCTTCTGAATTCACCATCCTTTGCCAACAGTGATGTAGCAAGCACTGTTGATTCCATGCTTGAGACCAAACCAAACAATTTCCCACACAAAGCTACTTCTCCCTTCTCTGAACTATGCTCCGTTGGCTTATGTCTTCAATGATTAGAGGGTCTTAGATAAATTTCTACCACCATGATACACAAACATCTGAGTCATTTCTAGAATCATACAAGCCCTGATTTTATTACACTTCCAACATGTACAGTCTTACTTCCCGTCAAGAAAATTAAAGCTGGTCAAACCGTACGGCAAAGTAGAGTTGGCATATCTTCCTTACAGAGGCTTTACAAATAACTAATGGTATACTTATGATTCCACCGACACTCTCATATTAACTACCTTTAGGCTTACGTAACTGAAAGGAATTTGCCATTACCTGAGCCATAAATTGATGTAGGGGCACACATTATGCCCCCTTTTGAGGATTTCACAGGGCAGCTATGAAGTGAGCAGTAAGCCAACATCAAAGTCACCCATCAAAGTTTTAAGGAACGTCCTATATGCTAAATGTGCCAGCACGAATTGACAATCTGTATACCTGTGGGGTCATTTCCTTTGATGAATTGCGAAACTATTCTAAAACGGTCAAACTAGGAAACAAAAATAAATATATGACATGCATGCATATCTTTAAATAGTGTTGGAATAATTGAAACTAAGCCTTTGGCAATACTTCAACCTTTTTCTTACAAAGATGCCAGTCTTCATCAAAGTCAGCCAGCAGCTTAGCTCCTTAAATCACAACAAAATGCTTGGAACTCCGGCTAAAACTCACGGCTGGTAATTACAAGCCCATTATGGTGGACTTAGTTGCCAAAATATAATTCACAAGTCTCCATTTTTGGGCAGAAAGGATACTGCTAGCCTCTAAATAATATTTCCTACAATACCTCTGGTTTCCATCTTAATCATTCACATTACCCATCAGTACATCTTTCACACAGAGAAATTAAAATTTAGACAGCGGTACTTACTTGCAATACGTTCACACACAGTTCCTTGGGTAATTTAAGAAGTTCACATTTGACAATCCTCAATTATGATCAAAATGCTAATTTCAAAATAATAAGACACAGATTTTGGCTTACTTAAAAAATACTCATCTGAATTTCCTGGAGTTTTGGTCAACTTTCAGGAATTCAAAATAGGCTGAAATCAAATCTACCCAATTAGATCTTGAACATTCCACAATGCAATAAACAAAGGCTAGTGTGCATTTTTGGCAGTCATAACCAAGATCAGGTTTGGTTGTTTCTCTTTGGTTCGTTACTTTGAGGATTTGAGTACTACATAATATCGTGTAATTCTTATCCAATTAAAATTTCCAAGGAAAATCTCTGATGAATTTCAACGGAGCTGATTCTTGGTTGGGACCGCTAAGATGCAACCCTATTACGAGCACAACTAGCTGACATAAATCAGATAAATAGCGCCCCCATTAACAATTTTCTCTCATTAAAAAGGTAACTTGGAACAGTGATCACTGAATCAGTGCATCAAATATTCTATTTTCTTAAACCGCATGCTTTATTCCATGCTCAGAGGTCCAACAAATGCACTCAGAATACAACAGGATTTCGACAACTGCACACAAGCTCATCCAACTGCACACGGTTCATGTTTTAAGAACAATTTCCCCGATAAAAATTTGGCTACGGTATCTTCTGTGACCCTGTTTTATTTTCATCACAAAGTGACGAAAAAAATCCATTTCACAAGTATTCATGCTGATTATATTCTGTCTACCACGGTGGAAAGCTAGACGCTTGAATCAATGTGGCTCGTAGCTGAATAAAATCATAAAAAATATGGTAGGAATTTAAATAGAATTATGTAAACCATATAACAAATGACTTGCACAATTATACATGTAGAGACTATTTGAGAAGGTAGAACTACACTGGTAGCATGCTCGCATGTACATTCTTCAGTTTGATGTGTGTGTGCATTGGCGCCGGTGGTGCCCATGCAATAGTGGTTTCTAATTGTTGGCCACATTACTAAATAAGCTTGTGCCATGAAACCTTCTCCACTTCCTAAACTACTTGCTGGAATATATATCAGTTGCACTGAGGGGAAGTTGATGACTATGTTATTAGAAGAGAATTGTTTTGGAAAAGAAGCTGTGAAACTGACACATATATTCTAAAACACATTTTTTTCTGTTGAAGGCCCAACTGACATTGTTTTAGAGCACTGCTACTTTCCAAACCTTAGATACATTCAGTGTTGTATTCGAGTCCATCACAAGTCCCTGTAAGTCCGTCACAAGTCCATCATAAGTCTTTCAGTCTTAAGCCAATTGACAAGCCATTCAAATGAGCTGTGACAAAAGCATTCTTTTGTCATCGTTTGCCCTGTTACTTATGATTGGCCTTGTGAAGGGACTTGTGACTGGACTTGAGAAGGGACTTATGGACGGACCTGAGATGGACTTGAATACAACACTGGATCCAGTTTCAGCTATTTTCCTATCTTTCTAAAGAATGATTTAGAAGTCTCCCATGAAAAGCCAAATCATATGAATACATTTGAAACTTTAGCCTTATGTCACATGATTTGTTGGTTCTGGTACAGAAGATGGAGCTTTAAGCCTGGTTTCCATATGGTCATTTGTAACACAGACGGTCCGCAAGACATGAAGACGCAGACATGAATGGAAGAGACGGTGTATGACGTCATTCCACCCCTAAATTGAAACAAATTGCATTCGAAACTCCGTGATTTTTCACAGAAAGTGTGCTTTTACATTGACTGTACCACCTCATGATGCCAAACCTCTGCTCCAGTTTCATGCATTTCATTGACGGTCAGCTGTTTAGTTGATCGCTGGGGGGAAATATTTAAGCATTAAGGTGAAAATGGGCAAAATTCGTGGAACTAAGTGGGAGGGTTATCGTTGCATGCCCGTTTTGCCAGCATATGCGTTTGTATATGAGGATATCACTGCGACCACTGCTACTTGACGCAGACAGTCGGCAAAGTTGAACCTGGCTCAACTTTACCGGTCATTCGCGGGCTGGTTTGCATTTGTCTGCATTGTAGGAGACACCTCCGTTTGGCATGTTTCCATATGTCTGCCTTGCATTTGCGCCTTCATTGCATTTCTCTCTGCGTTTCTTACGTCGATATGGAAACCAGGCTTTACTCATCCAATTTTCTGTTATTAAGGAGCACAAAATCAACTTAGCCAACGTTTGAAAAAAAAAAGGAGGGAGGGATATAAAAAAAAGTCCTGCAAATTCATTGTCATTTTGGCCATGCTGAAAATAACCCTCAACATTTCTGTGGTCCCCTCGGTTCGGCCTCTCCTGATGCTTGGCCTCAGTATTCCTCCACCCACTCGTTGTCATTGGTGAATGCCGCTATGACCTCCTTCATGGCCAGGTTGGGGATGAGCTGTTCCTGGGTCAGTTTGATCCGGGTCACTGGGTCAAAATGGCCGACCCGCTGTGGGGTTCAGAAAAGAAAACATAACACAAATTGTCACTCAAAATATGACACCCGAGAGGATTTCAGTGTAACTGTCCAACAGTCAAAGCAAGAGTCTTGTTGTGCCAGATATTGTAAATTTCCTCAAATGAACAGACTTCAAGAGATTTGATTGCAGACTGTTCCTCCTCAGTATGACCGCTGACATTATAGCAGGCCTGTTCTACACCTTACATTCAGGGGTAAAGGCAGGTGGTGGGGAGAGTGGGATGGGGAAGCATGAAGGGAAAGGTGCCAGGATTTTACTCCGATTTGTGCATTAAAAGGGTACAAAAAGGAAAAGCTAAGAAGCGTACTATTAAACTAGAAAAGGTCCCTGACTGACATGATTTGAAAAATTCCTACACTACAGGTCTCAAATCTGAAGGAAATGTTATTCACAGGGTCTTTAAGATTGTCAGCCTGCCCGTCAATTTTACAGAATGTTAACAGGGTATGTGGAAGCAAACAAAAAAAGGTCAACAGAAGTCCTACACAAAAAAGGCAGATTTGGGTGGAATAACTGGAGTCATTTGTTTCAGGGAAGCAGATCGTGGTACCTTACTTGTCCCCAAAGGTGGATCCAGAATTCAGTTTTCAACAGGGCTTTAATAATGGGGGGGGGGCAAAATTTGGGAATTTCTGGGTGTAACCTTTTATGGCCTTCTTGACAGGTGAGGCAAAATTTTGGGTTTTTTACACCCTTTGGTGAGGAAGTGAAACAACCTTGTTCCCTCAAGTTGCTTTTTTGTCATATTTCAAAATTAACAATAACTGCTTGAGGAAGAAGGGGGCGCTCACCGCCTTCCTCCCTCATCTTCTGATGCTTGTGCCCCGTTTCATATATAATAGATTCTCAGAAGCAAGAAAAATCTCCCAAGTGAAAATCTGAGTCACAGCAATCCAATCAGTGGGAATAAGTCTATGAAACATTGATGAAGGATGGTGAATTTTCCCGGCCTACTCTGGATGGCTTCAATATATGCAACAGGCAAGGCAAAATAAAGTTTGTTTTTTTTTACAAAAAGATCCAGGCCACAGGGTAAAACAGGCAGAGAAAAATGGAACAGATGAAAGACATCTGCATGATTTTTTTCCCCAGACACGATCTGGGTAACAGGGTCAAAGAGGCAGGTGATGAGCTACGTACCAGACCAACAACAAGTGGATGGTGGGAAAATAATGCATGATGCATTGAGCCAGATTTGGAGTGATAAATACAGGGTTGGGTTTAGATGAAATTGCAGTTATTGCATAAATCTCAAGATGGAAAGGCTGGATAGAAGAGGCAACTGAAGAAAATGAGTCAGCGGTGGCCAAAGCTCGTTGAGGGTAGCAAGAGGACACAAACTGTGCTTGGAATCACCACTGATAAACCAGATCCAACCAGTCCCATCTACCTGGCATTTGTGTCACTGAGCATATACACTTTGCCACAAAAGGTGTTTTTTTCTTTTCAGAATCAAAGTTGTACAAACACTGACCAATGGGGAACTTAGAGGAATAATTTTTGAGGGTCTTATTTTTTAAAGGCTGAGTCACTGGCTCAAGAAGTAGAGCTTCAGACTAATGACTAGAGGTTACAGTGCTGTAACAGTTGTGCATCTTGGCAAGTCAAAATAGGAATAGTGCATTCCTAGTACCCACCTCAAGTACATGTCTACCAATAGTACCGGGTACCAGTGAGACAAGTTTCAAAGGAAAAGGGAAAAAAATAAGAAAAAAAATATATTTAAAGCACCACCCCTGTCTTACCAACAATCCTTGCCTATGATGTTTAGACATTAAAATGTTTTACCATTCCTTTCACCATGCTTTTAAATTGAAAAATGCAAACTTAAAAACTTTCTCCTTCTTCGTCTGAATATTTACTGCAGGTAAATAATTTGTGTGGTTAATTAAGGGTACATAAGCCTATAATTTGGAACAGGTGCCTGACCTCAATAGCACCTAGTTCTTATGAACAGCCCTTCATGGAACCATATCAAAACACTGAATAATGAAGTGCATTGAACTGATATCTGTCTACAAATATCGGTTGAACCATTAGTTAAAAAAGCAAAATTTCCATCTAGTGACACCCAATTCTTGCATTAATTCAATTTTTAGACATTTTCTGGGGCGGGCCAACTCCGCTGGGTGTATTCATCTTACAGTTGGGTACAGACTCTTACAAACCCTTGTCGCTTTGTGAAGAGGTCTGCTGACAGTCTGACTCTTTCATAGTGGACAGCTGCCCAAAATTGCAGCCAAGAATCAAAAAACAAAGAAAGGAAAGGTTGGATGGGATCTCTGGAACAATTGCAGACTTACGATTCTGTGTCCGCCACTTGAGAAGGGAAACATAATTATTTCAACATACCGGTATGCCTTTTATTTGATGCCTCTTGAAAATTTAAACCTTTTACATGTACTTTGCTATGGATGCATTAGTTGATTGGTTTTCACTTTTCTGTAAGTCAACTGAAATTTGAGACTTATTACCTTGCAGAAACATAAGAAGGGACAAGCAGCCATTGGTCATTTGAAAGCCTCATTTTATATCAGAACAGTCCAGACAAGAAGCCATTTGTCATTTTGAAAGCCTCATTTTATACCAGGACAGCTTCTTATGTTTCTGCAGGTGTCATTACTTGTACTTTACAATAATCTATTTCTAAGGATAGCACGATTTCATTACAATGTGTCCTTTTAGGGATCAATTTCAGTCTGCAACATGCGACTAATGTGACTATTACACAGGTTCAAATGACACCTGTAGTGCTATCAATCATGTGCATGCTGCTTATACAAAAATATCGGTCGTTGCTACTAAACTGTACTTGATGTCCATGGGATCATCTATGGGATCATTCTTAGGACGTTGCTGAGGCACCATTTCAACGGTCTTCAACTGGACTTAGCAAACTTGTTAACAACTTGTAACAACTTGCCTTCTCTGGAACAATTTGTCATTAAATAAAGCTTATTCCGAAGGCTTCACCCTTAGAAGTATTTTGGGGCGTGTCTCTTTTGCTACCAAAGGTCACTCATAGAACGTGGTTGACCAGGTTCTCCATTGCGACTACATGTAATTAATTATCTCCAAGGTATGCTCGTACATTATGTATGAGAACAAATGAGTAGAACTCAAGGAGATCAGTCTACAACTTGATGGCCTTTAGTATTGTTGAATGATGCAGATTCTCCCCACTTGATGTATTATTAGAAGGCACTGATGTCATGGGCCCAAAGGGTCTGATGCTGCACTTCTCTTGAGGAAATTCTCTACAATATCCTAATTGACCAGGTCAGTGAAATAAGGACATAACAAATTCCATGCTTGCATGTTGCTTCACAGAGGCAACCTGCTAAACTGCCATCTCGGATGAATTATTAATGCATTATTCATGAGCATGTGGCTGGTCCTGCATGCTGAATGAGGTGCTTCCATCTCTCCATACTGTGCCCGTTAATCAGTTCTTTTGAACTGGAGAAATGTGCTGTCAGTCTTAACTTCTAGCAACTTCTAGCAACTCCAAAAGCACTCGATGTGTAAATTTTTGCGGCAGAAAAGACTCATCCAAGTTGGGTCAGGACAATGTCCCAGCGCCTAGGTCAGTGAACTAGGAAATAACAAATTCAATGCCTGGCACGCCAGGAGGCATGCATGTTGCACCTGCTTAACTGTCATATCTGATGAATTATTGATGCATTATTCATGAGCATGTGGCCAGCCCCGCATGCTTGATGAGGTGCTGCCATCCCTCCATATTCCACCAGTTAATTAATTCTCTTGCACCTGAGAACTGTGGCATCTGTCTGCATTTCTAGCATTTCCAAAAGCACTTGATGTGTAAATTTTCAGTGCAGAAGACTCCTTCCTGGAGTTTGGTTTTTCCTTTTATGAAAGCTGATATTCTTGTCTGGGATAACACTATTCAGTGTTTCCGAAGCAACCAATTGATCTGCCATGCCTTTCAATGAAGAGAAGTTGACAAACATCCCATATCAATGCAATAATCCACAGAATGATGGATATTTTGGGCTACACGTGCATAGACTAGGGGAAAAACAGGCACTATGTAACTTGGTGAGAGTGAATAAAGAGCACTTCTATTTCAATGGTTCACGCTCTGTTGTTCATCCATGTACACTTAGCAATCAATGTGCCGTACACCGGGAGAGTACCCTCGACCAATAGTGTTTTTTGTCGTTAACGCTGAGAAGGTGCTTGTGCAAACAGTCCACAGAAATGCAATATCCGGCAATCTGAGCATTCTTTTAAAAGGTGAACACGGTACATCCATGCTAGGACAACATTCATCGGTGTTACTGGGGTGAATTTTTTTTGGGGGGGGTTAGAATCTTGGGTAGGATTGCTTCTTTAAGAGGGTCACTGACAGCAAATGCACTGTAGCTTGTCTATAGGTATCGTGCATTTCAAAACTTCAAATGGGGCACTTAGGAGTGGAGAGGATTTCCGTTCCCCCTGCCATTATGCCAGCTACAAAGGCTGAAAGTCCCTGCCTTCAACGGCTTGTCAAGTAACAGTTGGACGAGCACATAATTTCTGACAGGCCAGGGCTATCTACCACCCCCCCGCTGCCTTGGATTTCCACCTTCAAATGTCCCGACTTACATCACAGAGCTTCCGAGCTGCCAAGAGCTAAGATATATCTTAAGGCGGCTCTTTTGACAGTCACATAGAGTCAGGTTCAGCCTGAGCCATCTGCTTTCCCCTTGAAACATTCCAGCTGCATTTTCCGGCTGACACAGGCAATGTTCCAGTTAATGGAACATCTGCCATGGCCAGCATGCTACACAATGCAGGCAGCAAGCTTTGGTTGACAGACACACCAAGTTCAAGTGAGAATACTGGCAGACTAATAGGATCGAGGGCCGTTGCAATCATGTGGAAATATAATCAAGAAACAAAAAACATGGAGTTTGGCAAACTTCTGCGCTAAAATGACCTGAAATATCCATACACAAGAGGACAGGTCAAAAGTTAGCAGAATCATATTCTGATCATGGAAAGATTACACTCGGATTATACCATCAGATCCTATGATTCGATGAATCAAACCATGACATGACAGAAAGCAAACTCAAGCTACATGATGTCCTACCTGTACACTTGCATTGTTAGGTGAACGACACGCCTGAATGCAAGAACTACATATCAGGTCTTGTGCCCATTTCAATCAGTATTCTGACAGTAGACTGACAGGTTAGTTTGTACACATATGTCCTACTAAAAATTACTGCTGCAGAACAAAACAGGAAAAGCAAATGATTGAAGTCTTAATTTGCAATGGAATCTGGGATACTTTTGTTGTGCATGATCGATTCAGCTATGAAATAGATTTAATTACCTGTAAGTGTTCCTCTATGTCCTTTCTGTCATATGTAATGCCGCTGGGTGTGATAACCGGATCTTTCATGATCTCAAAGCTGATTTTCCCGCACAGGTAGTCGGGCACCTCCCTTGTCTGCCGATAGAAACAAAAAACCAAAAAAAAAACCCAGAAAAATGAAAATCCCAGCAAGAAAGCACCACCTAAAACAAAATCTGCCACAAATGCAGAGGGTAAAAAGGCAAATCTAGACACACCTGCGTATTTGAGTGATAAAGTACACAGTATGCAAACATACGTGCAAATGGACAATGAAGTGCAACACCAAGAAATGGAAAAGCTGACACAGGGGAAATGAATGGAGAAAAATTTAAAAAGGAAATTGAAAAGTAGAAAAACAAAGAGAAAAGAAAATGATACATGCAAACTGGCAAAAACATGGAAACCCTCCCCCCAGTCCAGATGACTAAATGTACAATGAGATTAACATATTGACAAATTTAAAAAATGCATTTAATTTTGAACAATACAAGACACAATTTTCTTTACACTTTTGCCAAATTTATGAAAATACGTAGCAACGTAAATTTTCAATATTCCTTTCCAAATCTGATCCTCCTCCTCATCTAGTCAACAGAATAAAATAAACATTTCAGAATTTCTTTTTGCATTGAAGCATCAAGAATTTGGGGCATTACCTTTCCAAAGATATTCGGCCCCATTGCTTGCTTTGCCTCCTCAAAGACAGATCCATCAGCCCATGATTTCTCCATACTACCCCCCTCCCCTCCCTAAGGAAAAGACGCTCGGGCATGCTTCAACTATTAGAGTAAGTATATTTGTCCAGGGAGGCCGAAAAAAGATGTTCGGGTCAAGCAAAGAATTAATTGAATGGATGCTCCCGATGCTGGGGGCGAAAAAAAGGAGAAGGGGAGGGACATAAAAAGTCTTGACAATTACCAAACGCCGGCTCCATTTATCACTTGTCTTTCCCTTGGATAGTGGAATATCCAACGATACGGGCAATAGGCCAAGTTGAGAGTTAATGGGACCAAAGTACAGGTTGCGTATGTGTAATTGTAAACTACCCCCCCCCCAATTTGTGGTAGTGTTTTAAGCTTTGACATTTCGGTATTGTAGAGGTGAAGCTGAGGGTGAATTTCCTGACATTTTCTGCTGGGAATCTCAAGTGACGTTTGTATACTGAAGTCTGAGGGATTTTTTTCCTATTTTAGAGTACAGTACTTACATGTACGTCAACACTTCTAAATGAATCACACTTCTGACTTTTAGGGAAGGTTGATATGAACTACTCTGTTATTTTTGTCTCAGCGTTAAAGTTGTTTTTGCATTGGTGTTGGAATCAACCTTTGTAAAGTTAACCAACAATTGCGGAGGAATTAGGAAACGGGTTTCTTCCTGGTTTTGACAAAAGACAGAGACTTTATTCTCTTTTCATTTGACAAATTCAATTCATGGATAAATTCTCTGATCAAAAGGCCATAAAAAGCCTAAAATAACTATTGTTACAAAGGCAATGGACAACTAAATTTTCTTTTAATACTCTGAATGCATCAAAGAAAGATTTTCACACGATGAAGCGACGGCCATGAAACATTTAAAAAGTTGTGTGGAAAATAAGCTAAATAATTTACGCTCTGACAGGATTCGATGGTAAATTTCTTTTGCATGTACACGTATTATACATACAGTGTACATCATTATGTTCTGATGTTTATCAAAGTGCAGCACGCCAAGATGGCATTCAGAAAGGGCAGGGGACTCAGAGTTTATCTGTACATCATCAGGTTTGAGTTTTCATTGTTTCTTAATTTAAATAGTACCATTTTAGCTGTCCCACACTATTGACGAGTTGTGTCCATCCTGTTTGCTGACAAAG